TAATACCCAAAGATTATTAATCATGCAAGATCCTAGACAAAAAAGTGGGGGAGCTGTATCCCTCACTTTGAGATTTTATAATACTTACTAGCATTTTCAAAGTTCTGAGACGTTTTGCCATTAAGACTACCTTTTCTGCTGGGGAATGGTTCAAGTGGTAAAGTATCTGTCTAGCAAGTGTGATGCCCTGAGTTCAAACCCCAGCACTGCCAAAAAAAAAAATTAACAAAGACTGCATTCTGCAATCTAGCATTCCCCCAAATAATCTGATGACATTACCCTTTTTCAGCAAGACTGTTAATATCTTTAGGAAGTCATAATCTAGAGCAACTTTAAATGTAGAGATTCCAGCAGATGGAGTAAGAAAGTAACCACCTTCCCACCCCCAAGCAGTGCCTTATATGGGCTTTCAATTTCAGCCACCTAAAAGCAAGAAGGAAAGAAAAGTGGTTGATTACCAACTCCTATACTGTCTCAAGTTCAAAGCTTCCAATTACCTGTACTTCCTGCTCTACCAGTCTCTTATACTAAAGAGAAGGCTGCTCTATGTAGGAATGAGCATGGTTACTACCAAAAAAAAAAAAAAGGAAGAAAAAAAGAAACCCTAATTTTAAAAACAATATTACCTTAAATGCTTATGTTTACATATTTAATATGCATTAAATAAAATACTGAAAGCTTTGTAGTAGAGCAGCAGTTCTCACAGTGTGTTCTACAAAGACCCTTTTCAGGGCATCCATGAGGTCAGAATCATTTTCTCAATTAATATTAAGACAGTATTTGCCTTTTTCCCCATGCTGCCATTTGTGCTGATGGGTGCAAAAGCAATGGTGAATAAATATGCTGGCTTCTTAATACAAATAAAGGAATGATACCAATGCAATAATAATCATTGCATCTGCAATTGTATGCACTCACAATACAAATCAATGTTAGACTTTTTGTGTTTTTTGGGCAAGATGAGTTTGAATTCAGGACTTCATGCTTGCACAGCAGGTGCCCTACACTAGAGCCACACCTCAACCACCTTTACTTCAGAATGTCTTGGTGAAGCAATAAAAATTCTTTAACCCTCAACTCTGGAGCTTTGTTTTATCTTTCGGTACTCAGTATGACAAAGTGAAAGGTATGTGTAAAGTATTTTGCTGCATACTGAAGGAAAACAGTTGTATGTAGGAACTTGTGCAGCTGAATCCTAAGCAGAAATCACCACTTCAGAATAACAAATTAAGCCTGGCGCAGTGGCTCATACTATAATCCCAGCTACTTGGGAGGGGAGATCAGGAGGATCATGTTTGAGGCCAGCCTGGGCAAAATTTTGAGAGATTACATCTCAACCAATAGCTGGGCATCGTGGTCCATATCTGTTATTCCAGCAACACAGGAAGCATAAATAGGAGGATCCTAGGCCAGCCCAGATAAAAATGGGAGACTCTATCCCTAAAATAAGTAAAGCAAAAAGGGTGGGGTGAGCTCAAGTGGTAACATCTGCCTATCAAGTTCAAGATTCTGAGTTCAACCACCAATACCACCAAAAAAAAAAAAAAAGATAACAAATGATGTTATAGTGGTGCATGCCTACAATCAAGCACTCAGGAGGATGAGGATGGAGACTCAAGAGTTAGAAGCCAGCCTGGACTCCATAGCAAGACCCTGCATCAAAACAGCAACCAAAAAGAAATGACAAACCATAGTTATTCACACTTGGGTATGTAGTAGATATTTTCTCAAAAATGAGAAGCTATCATTTCAAGGAAAACAAACTGTTACTAATGATAAAGTTTCACAAAAAAGTTAGATTCTGGAAAACATTTCTGCTAGTATTAGCTTGATGGCTTCCAAAAATACTTAAGGACTTTATTAGTGAGATCACTGGTGACATTAACAATAATGGCTGGTGTGGTGGTGAACATCTGAATCCCAAGTACTCTGGAGATGGAGCAGAAGGATTGAGAGTTCATCTAGCCCTAGGAAAGTTAACAAGAGCCAATTCCTCCCAAAACAAAATATAAACAATAGAGCTAGAGCACAGCTCAAGTGGTAGAGCACTTGTCTAGCACATTCAACCCCCAGTATCACAAAAAAAGGTAATCTTTTGGTAATATAACAATGAAATTGAGTATCTGTATAACTTAGTACAGAAATATTTTGCAAATGACCAGTTTATGATACTCAAAATCATCTGTGGGTAAAAGATCCACTTAAGGTAAGACAGGCTGGTGGCATGGCTCAAGTATAGAGTGCATGCCTAGCAAGCACAAGGCCCTGAGTTCAAACCCCAGTACTTCCAAAGAAAAGAAAAGGGCTGGAGGAGTGGCTCAAGTGGTAAAGTACCTGTCTAGCCATTGTGAAGCCTGAGTTCAAACCCCACTACTGCCAAAAAAAAAAAAAAAAACCAAATAAACAAAAAAACCTTTCAAATCATACATTACAAGTAAAGACTTGTTAAGTTCTGCTCTGATATCAAAGAAGAATTTCCAAGCCAGGAGTGGTGGTATATGACTATAATCCCAGCTACTCAGGAGGCACAGAGGATCTCCAGTTTGAGGCCAGCTTGGGCAAAATTAACAAAACAAAACAAAAAGGCTAGGGGCATAGATCAAGTGACAGAGCACTTTCTTAGCATGCAGGAGACCCTGGGTTCAATTACCATTATGGAGGGGGAAAAAAAAAAAAGCAAAGAATTTCTACAATTATCTGACAAAGTTATTAAAATACTCCTCCCTTCCAACTACAAATCTACATGAGACTGGCTCTTCTTTAGAACTTCAACACCATATGGTAACAATCTGATGAAGCACATAATGAAAATCCAATTGTCTTCTATTAAGCCAGATGTTAAAGATTCCTGCAAAAATGTAAACAGCTCTACTCTTACTCTTTTTTTTTTTTTTTTTTTTTACAATGCTGGGGATAAACCCAGAGCCTCACAAATACTAGGCAAACCCTCTACCACTGAGCTACATCCCCAGCCCATGTCTTGGAAAAGTCATTTTTCATGAAAAAATGTTCTTTATACTAACAAGTTAGTAACTGGGTTATTACTGTTAGACTTACTAAATGATTAAGTAGTTTGATTTTTTTTTCAGTTTCTTTTTTTTTTTTAAATAACACTTTTTTTGAGATAGGACTTCACTACACAGCCCAGCCTGGCCTTGAACTCATGATCCTCCCACCTCCCAGTATTGGACCACTCCAGCCCTCAGTTTAACTCTAATGTGGTAAATCTCAAAGATATATAATCCACATAAACAATAGGTCTTTGGGAGCATCTTGATTTTATAAGTGCAAAGAAGACGGGAATGGTGTTTCAGGGATATAATCCCAGCAACTGGGAAGCAGAGACAGGAGTTCAAGAACAGCCTGTACATAATGACCTGGTCTCAAAAAAGAAAAAAAAAAGCAGGGGCCAGGTGCAGTGTCTCATACCTATAATTCTAGCTACTTAGGAGGTAAAGATAAAAAAAACTCACGATTTGAGACCAGCACAGGCAAAAAAATTAAAAATTAGGAAGACCCCATCTCAACAACAACAAAAAAAACCCTCAGGTGTGGCAATCAGCACCTGTGAGTCCAGCTATGAGGGAGGCCACAGGTTAGGAGGTAGGAGGATCTCAACTGAGGCTGGCCCCAGACTAAAAGGGCTTGTGTGTAGCTTAAGTGATAGGGCACTTGCCTGGACTCAAATACCAGTACTGGAAAAAAAAGTGCAAAGAAGCTCTACAATCAAAAAATTTGAGAAATGCAGTAATACAGAATAATACAAATGGCTTCCAATACATATGAAGGTATATAGAAACTATTTCTAAATAGAAAGCTCTGCTTTTATCTATGTCTTCCTATATTTCAAAACAACACAATGGAAGTTGGACACCATGGTACTTAAAGGAACTGAAGGCCCATCCATCTGCTCACTGGCTTCTGCTTACAAACTCCCAAAAGCAGAACCAGATTTATCTCATTCTCCACTATCTCACCCATGACAAACAATCTTCATGCAAAAAAATGGAGAGGATAATTCTGAACTCAAAATATGTACATACAATATGAATGCATCTTCATACCTACATTGTTTAAATATTATTAAACATGTCAATTTGTATTTTTTTTATCTTTACTCTGAATTCAAAGGAAAGTACTGTCTTTTACTTTTTTTTTTTTTTGGTTATACCAGGGCTTGAACTCAGAGACTCAAACTTGCTAAGCAGGTACTCTACCACTTGTGCCACACCTGCAGTCCATTTTGCTTTGGTAATTTTGGAGATGGGGTCTCAAAATTGCCTGGGCTGGCTCCAAAATGCAATCCTCCCGATCTCAGCCTCCCAAGTAGCTAAGATTACAGCTTTTATGAACCATCGACCTGCTGGAGGTGTGGCCCAAATGGTAGAGTGCTTGCCTACCAAGTACGAGCACTGAGTTCAAACCCTAGTACCATCAAAAAAAAAAAAAATCCAGAAAAGCAAAACAAAACCAAAAAACCCTATAGACCCATAGACAGAGAGAAACTGAATGAGGTACAAATTAATTTTGTTTCTGAAAACATTTCTTCTCATCTTCTAAACTGATAGCAAGGTCCACAAGGTTCTACTTAATAAAATATAACACATTAAGATATATTTTAATCATAAGAGAAGGAAGATGAACCAGTAAAGGTAAAATGTTGATGAAGAAGCAACAGGAAAAGAAAGAGTAGAAAGAAACAAAGCAAGTGAAAGGCAAATGAGATTTTACAGGTAACTCATTTTAAAAACTTCTGAAGTTCCAAAGTGACTTTTAGAATTTACTTGCCCAAATAAACATAGTCCATAAGAAAGTTACTCATAAAAATAATGTCTAGGTACCTGGTATTTCTTAAGCTTTCTCTTCAGCTGGAGAACTGTAATATGCTGTGGTCCCTCTTCCAGATTTTCAATGCCTTGGATCCCTCGGAATGAAGTGAGGACAGCCTTCCTGACCTTTTGGGTCATGTTAAACCACTCCTGCAGTTTGTGCTGCTGCTTTTGGTTTAGTCTGACAGAATCTTTTAAATCCACGAGGAAGGTAAAGGCCTCCTCTACACAATTTTGGTAGCCCTGACACTCCTCTTGTAGCTGAGCTACTTGCTCCTCAAGAGAATGAATCCTGTTTTTACCAGGAGCGCCCTCTTGATGGATCTGGCTAGTTCGGCTGATACTTGCCTGCTGGCTTTGCAAAGCTTGTCGCAGCAACTTAATTTCAAATTCCATTTCATCCATTCGGTCTGATTCTGGGCTAAAGTTTAAAGTGGGTTTGTTTCTAATGTTCCGTGCTCTGTTGGCATATTTGAGAGAATTTAAGGACTCATCAAAGTCCGAGGAAGATGGGCTAACACAGGTGATCATGACAGTCTTGGCCCTGCCTCCCAGGGAATCTTTCAGAAGCCGAGTAATTTTAGCATCCCTGTATGGGATATGTGAACTCTTCCTGCGTGGGTGTCCAAGAGCACTTATTACATTTCCCAAAGCCAGCAAGCCACTGTTGATTTGAATGGATTCTTTGAACCATTCACTGGTATTCCCGGTTTTGGTCACTCTCTCTGATCCAGCCAAATCTACAAAATGGAACTTGGAGACAGTTTGCCGATGTGAATACCATAATTCATCTTCAGCTGCTTCTGAATTTTTCTCAATTTGACAAATGCTGATTGTAAAAATTGCATGTGATCTACTGGAGTGTTCATTCATCTGGGTGGTACCTGTATGTCTGGCCGCATTCCCCACCTCCAGAAGACTCATCACCTCATCCACACTCTCCACATGGCATTCCTTGGCCCCAACAAGCACTTAAAATAGCAACAGCAAGTTTTAAAACAAAGTTTTCATAAAAATCTAGCACAGTTAATTTAACCACATAACAGTTATCATTTCCTAAACAGCCCAGTCAAGATAGCTCCTTTTAAAAAAATAGCATTTCAAATAACAGTAACATCTGCAACATCATTAAATGATTTCAGAAAATCTCCCAAAGGAACCATTTTAATAGACACTACACATTTTGATGTTTAAACTCTAAAAGATCTAATATATTTTTTTAAACCTAGGTTTTTTTTTTTTGTCAAACATCACACTTGATTCTTTAAAATGACTAACAAAAAAATCTTGAGCTAGGAGTATAGCTAGGGGTGTAATACATGAGGCCTTGGGTTAAATCCCGACACCCAAAAGAAAACCCCAAAACAAAAAAGTACATACACACATATACAATGCAAAAAAACAAACAAACCTTTGTTTCAATATTCTGTTTTGTCTTACTTAGGTAGTTCAATATAGTTTATCTCTTCTGGATAGACTGGTGGTTTGAGTTTCTTGTATCTTATGGAATGTAATTATTGAATCTTATATCAAAAATGACAAAAATAATATATGCAAGTTGTAAAACATTAAAGAATACTGAAGTATACACTATACTACTATTCCTAATAAATGTGATGATTAATTAAAACAGATTAAAGATACTACTCAAAATAATCAGAAGTAATTAAAAGAAAAAAATTAGTTTCTTTTCAATTTTGTTAATATTCAATCCATCCTTATCTTAAGGGTGTTTTTGTATTATGGACTCATAATCAATGATGAATGAAATACAAATACAAATAAAGTTGATAATTCATTTAAAAAATAGGTATGTCCTACGTAGTATCAGATTGCAAGGTAAACAGATAGCAATTCAAAAAAAGCTTCTATTTTTTTTAACAACAGTGTAAGAACCAAATGCAACTTCAGCTTACTACCTGCATTAATTGTTTATATCCAAAAATACTTCAAAAAGGAATAGGTACATTTGAGATTTGAATCAGAAGTAAAGCTCCTGATCCTCACTCGAAGTACAGTGCCATGTTTCCTCTTCAATCAGATCCTGTTGTGTCACTGTTTCTTTAAAAAATAATCATTTCACTTATATTATTTCTATCATGACACTTTTGAAGTAACTAGTTCATTTAAAGTTCTAAACCAGTTGAGGTGGTTCATGCCTGTAATCCCAGGTACTTGGGAGGCAGAGTTGGGAAGACTGAACTTTGAGGCCAGCCTTCTGGTCAAAAAAAAAATTGAGAACCTATCTCAAAGAACAAGCCAGGCGTGGTAATGTACACATGTAATCTGAGCTGTGCTGGAGGAATAGGTAGGAGGATAGTGGTCCAACGGTAGCTGGACAAGAAGCTTGAGACCCTATCTGAAAATAACTACAGCTAAAAGGGATGGAGGCATGGCTCAAGTGGTAAGAGCTTGTCTAGCAAGCATTATTCCCTGAGTTCAAACCCCAGTCCTGCTAGGTGTCAGTGGCTCATGCCTGTAATCCTACCTACTTAGGAGGCTGGGATGAGGAGGCTCGAGGTTTCAGGTCAGCCTGGGCATCTGTGAGACCACAGCTTCAAAATAACCAGAGCAAAATGGACTAGAGGTGTGGCTCAAGTGGCAGAGCACCAGTTTTGCAAGCATGAAGCCCTGAATTCAAAACCCAGTCAGACCAAAAACAAACAAACAAAAATCTGCCAAAATAAATAAATAAATAAGGTTCTGAAGTACCTGTACTACAAAAAGTCAGTGTTAAAATATCAAGGTTTATATAATATGGCAATGAAAACGCAAATCATCATAAGATTTTCATGAAATTTTTCTGTTGGACTATAACTTAGCACCATGGTTTTAAAACCCACTTGCATATCACCTGGTAGCTTTATAACCTATGTCCAGATCCTATCTCAGGTCAATTACATCAGAATCTCTGAGAGGCAGAGATGAGAAATCATTTTTTTAAGTTATCCTAGGTAATGCAAATCATGTAGCAGCCAAGGTGGACAAATACTGCTTCAGAGAGGTGCTAAAGAAATTTGTCAAACAAACACATTCTGGTTGTGAGACATTACATAAGATACATGGCAGCTGTAATTTGCTTTTGTTTGTTTTTTGTTTCTTGGTGGTGGTACTAGGGTTTAAACTCACGGCACTTGCTAGGCAGGGGCTCTACCATTTGAGCCCCATCACCAGCTCTTTTTTTGCCTCATTTTTGCCTGAGCTGGCCTCACAGTGAGATCCTTCCAAGTTCTGCCCCCTGAATAGCAGACCCACGGGGGTGACTCGTAACACCTGGCCCCAGCTATGAAATATTTTGATCATCACATTTATTAGGAATAGTACTATAGTGTATACTTCCATGTTCTTTAATGTTTTACAACTTGCATATATTATTTTTGTCATTTTTGATGTAAGACAGAAACATTCAATAATTACATTCCATAAGATACAAGAAACTCAAACCACCAGTCTATCCAGAAGAGATAAACTATACTGAACTACCTAAGTAAGACAATAGACTTTCTAAAATATAAAACAAAAACTACTTTGTTCAAACATCTGGATTGCCACAACTGCCAACACAGGGCTATAAGAAGGCAAGATTTACTGTCCCCTGTAAGTTGCTATTTGAATGATGACACTCATTTTACTGTCCTCAGTGCTACAAATTCCCACAAGGAGTCAACTCTTCTGGCAGGATCTCCAGGAAAGTTTTACTAAATGTGTTTTCTAAGAGAAGAGGACACCAAGAACAGTTATTGCAATGTCATTAGTAAGAAAACCAGAAAACAGTCTTAATATTCCAACAAAGGAATACTTACTAAATAAATTATTATACAACATTGACGAGACAAATTACTATAGGACATTAGTTATAACTATGAAAAAATAGGGCTGGCAGACTGGTTCAAATGGTAAGAATGCCTACTTAGCAAGTGTGAATTCAAACCCCAGTGCCACCAAAGAAAAGTTAAACATGAAAATACCTAGAGGGCCAGGCAATGGTGAAGCACATCTGCCTATGATTTCAGTTACTTGGGAGGCTATAAGGAGGATCATAGTCTGAAGCCAGCCCCTGGCTAAAACACAAGACCCTATCAGAAAAATAATTAGAAAGCAAAAAAGGCAAGGGGATGTGGCTCAATTGGTAGGGTGCCTGCCTAGCAAGTACAAGGCCCTGAGGACAAAACCTACTACCAGCCCCACCAAAAACAAAACAAAAAAACTTAGTGACATGAAAGTGCTCACAAAGTAGAAAATAAAAATGCAAAATTAAATTTGAGCTTGCAAGTACATATTTTTTTAAATTATATGTACACAGAAAAACAAATTTGGAAGGAAATACAAAGAGAAGTTGTGGACTGGCAGTAGTGGTAAAGCACTACTTGCCTACCATGTATAAAGCCGTAGGATCAATCCCTATCGGCACACACACAAAAAAAAAAAAGTTGCATGCTGGGCACTGGTGGCTCATGCCTGTAATCCTGAGACTCAGGAGGCAGAGATAAGGAAGATCGAGGTTCGAAGCCAGCCTGGTCAAATAGTTCCAGAGACCCTATCTCAAAAGCACCCATCACAAAAAAGGGGCTGGTGGAGTGGCACAAGGCATAGACCCTGAGCTCAAGCCCCAGTACCGCTAAAAAAAGGTTGCCATTTGTAGGTTCTGAGGTCAAAGATTAACTTTAACTTCCTAACCCGTAGTTCTCTATGTTTTCAATATGTTCTACAGTAAAAATACTAGCTTTTAAATCAGAAATTGCCAGACATGGTGGTGCACATCTATAATCCCAGCTACCCTAGAGGCAGAGACAGGATGGAGGTTTGAGGTCAGCCCAGACAAGTGCTGGAGATCCTATCTCAAAAACAAGCTGAGCATGGTGGGGCACACCCGTGGGCCCAGCTACTCAGGAAGTGAAAGTGGAAGATCAAGGTCCTAGGACAGCCCAGGGAAAGTTAGCATAAGACGCTATCTAAAACACAAACTAAAACCAAAAGAGTTGGGGGAATGGCTCAAGTGGTAGGCCACCTGCCTAGCAAGAGCAAGGCCCTAAATTCAATCCTCCATACCTCACAAACACACAAAAATTGTCATTCCTTAAAGCACTTGCGTTTTCACCTTGCCTTTGCAACCCTCTCCCATTTCCAAACAATGGGTGTTAATTAATGAGGTTAACAGGTGCAAGCAAAGAAAGTTAGACCTCAGAGAAGCCTAACAAAGGATGGTAAATATCAATATGGACAAACAAAAACAAAAACACTAAACTTCTTTAACCAAAAAAAAAAAAAAAAAAAGAAGGAAGAAATAGGTGTTTGGGGAACAAAAATCAAAGAGGGAAAAAGGAGAATTTCAGATCAATTGGATGAACAGCTGAAGGAAAACCATCCTTAATTTCAGAGTATCTCTGAGAGTAAAAAACATACAAAAACAAACTTAGCCCATATCACAGTTTCAATAGAGGTCAGTCCAGAGGGGGCTGACCTCAATTATAGGAAATCAGTACCTTCAATTACAAATTAGTAAATTTACCTTACCAATCAGTCTGAAGAACTACATTTTCACCTGAGTGATTTAAATAAGACTGATAATCAATAAGCTATTTAAAATATTGGTTTTGCCAAAGTAAAAAATGAAAATAAGAGGTTGGGGTGTAGCTGGATAGTAAAGTGCTTACCTAGCATGCACAAGGCCCTGAGTTCAATTTCCAATGCCACAAAAATAAATAAATAAAAAGCAAAAACAGATTAATTTTGCTTATATATCTGTTTTTAAGAACTCCTTGGATTATATCCAGAAGCCGAATTAAGTGTATCTGTTTGCTAATGAAGGCAATCAATTAAGTAGGCTACTTTACCTGTGTTTCCTTTTTCATCTTCTCGGATGTGAAGATCTTTCATGGATGTCTCCAACTCAAGAAGATCTCTTAGGTCTTCCTTGTATACTTCTATATAGGATACTTTTATATTAAAGTCAATACTAGGATTTTCAGTGATGCTTTGAAATATTTCTTGGATAGCTCGAGGAATGATACCCTTTTGACCCTCTGCAACTGAAGCTAAAAATTAGGACAGGAAAGCACATCTGGAACTTGAAATGTAAGAAAAACCACACAATCCAAAACATACTTAATAAATGTATTTTCTTATATTTTTCTGCTATAAAAAATGTTAAGCCCTAAAACTCATGGACAAAATAAGCCAAGTGCCAGTGACTCATACCTGTAATCCTAGCTACTTGGGAGGCTGAGACGGAGAGGAACACTGTTCAAGGCCAGCCTAGACAAAAAGTTCTCAAGACCCCTTCTCAACCATTAAAAAGCTGGGTGTGGTGGCATGCACTTGTCATCCCAGCTGTGGTGGAAAGCATAAAATAGGCTCACAGTCCAGGCTGGCCTGAACAAAAAGCAAGACCCTATCTTCAAAACAACCAAAGCAAAAAAAATGGCTGGAGGTGTGACTCAAGTAGTAGAGCCCCTGCCTAGCAATCACAAGGCCCTGAGTTCAAACCTTAGTATTGCCAAATACATTTATAGAATTAATACAATCTTCACTATTTCAAAAAAAATTTTATCACCCTAAACAGAAGCTCTGCATCCATTAAGCATTAACTACCTCCAACCTCTAATATACTTCTTTCTCTATACTTTTTTTTTCTGTACTGGGGTTTGAACTTGGGGCCTCATGTTTGCTGGGCAGGTGCTCTATCACTTAAGCCACTACACCAGCCCTCTCTGACTATTCTAATATTTCATGCAAGTAGGCTCATATAATATTTGCCTTTCTGTGTCTGGCTTCTCCTATTATATATCAGAACTTCTTTTCTTTTTTTCTTTACAGTAGTACTGAAGTCCTAAGTTCAAATCCCAGTATACCAAAGGAAAAAAAAGTTTTTAAAAAGCTTACAAGGTAAATTTTAAAATGAAGGAATAAATTGAGACAAGGTTAAGTAAGTTTTTATAAACCAGGTTAGAAAATCTGCACAGTATTTTTAGCATTGTTCCACAGAAAATACATGCCAAGCAATAAAAGATTCACTAGCAAATGAACCTTAAAAACAACATGCTTCGAAAAAAAAGATCATTGAAATTCAGATTTTTGGCAACAATCATCCTAAAATCTGAACCTCTATTAACTTGAATGGACTGCCATCCTGTGGCAAGAAAAGGAAGCTGTTTGTTTTGAAGTTTGTTTTTCCAAAACAAGGGAAAATTCCTTTTTAAGAGTTTCCAGACTGGGTCTAGTGGCACTGTAAATCAAGCATTTGAGAAGCTAAGGCCAAAGAACCTTGAGCCCAGAGGCCAGTCTGGGTTCCACAGAGAGTTTGAGCTCAGCCTGGATTACCACTTCAACAAATAACAAGGCACAACAATTTAAAATATTTAAAAATTTGAATTTCAAATATTTATAATACAGATTAAATATGTATTTTGGTAACCTAAATATCACATTCCACATATGCAATGTTGGTCTTACATTCCTGAAACAGACTATTTCAGAGAGTAAACTTGTGAAGTTTAATATTCAACAGTCATTACTTTGCTATTTTATGCTACTTAAAGGATATACAAGAGTCTGTACTCACAGTCTCTAATATAAATCAATATAACTAAGTCACAAACCTCTGAATATTTTATAGCTCCTATTGGTATAAAGCATATACTACATCTTTAAGATCATAAGCCATCTGCCAATTTTTAAAAAAAGCTACAATTCTCAAGAAAAAATGCAACTTTTTACTAGAAATATTGAATTCTGCAGAATGGTCATTTTTAAAAATTGGCATATGGGCAAGGCCTCTCCTTTTAATCTTTGGAATGAGGACTTCCTCATACTATACAGCTACTCTCCAAACTCTTCCCAATCTATGCATGTAATAAGACATTATTATATGAAAGTCACACATTTCTGAAAGTCACATATTCTATATTTGAGAAGTATAAAAACAGAAAAAATTGAGAGCTACTATATAAAGAGAAAATACTAAAATTTAGACAATGATGCATATATACAATATTCAAAAGTTTATTTTTAAATCAAAATGAGACAACAGTTTTCCAGGTGCTCTGAGAGTCATAGGTAGGATTCTCTACAAGCAGATATGAAATGGTGTGTGAGTGTAGATGTTTATTAGGGGCAAAGCCTTTGAAAGGAAGGAAGAGGAAGCAGAATTGTGCAGAAGTCACTCTGGCAAGCAGGTTCATCAAAGATGGTTCATGTGTTGTTTCCTCAGAAAATAACACATTGGAAATGCTTTGGAGACTGTGTTCCATCTTTTTCAGCTTTCCATAAATAATGTTCATAAAAAAGTTTCTTGGTTAAAAACTCTTCATGCTATGTGAAAATGAACCATGACTATAAATGATTCTTTACTTTATTCCAGCTCCTGAAACTTCCACAGAACTTTTTTTTTTTTTTGGTAAAACCAATTTTAGCAAGAATCCTACACAGTGTAACAAGAATCCTCCAACCTCAATATCTCATCAATTACTCATCGTCCACCATCTCCCAGATGATGTCTGATCACCCTGGCCTGTCTTCTACAAGAATTCTATTAGTGCAGTTTGGTTAGAATCCTCCTAACTCTGATGTTAGTAATTTTCTATCCACCAGCCTCACCTTGTCCTCTGGCTATAAATTCCTACTTGTCCATGGAATTGACCCCAATCTGTCTCCCTCACTGCAAAGTCTCATTGCAGTGGTACCTACACCTATCAAAATAGTCTTGAATAAAGACTTCCTTACTATGAAAGAAAAAATTTGTTTCTGGCATAAAAATATAAATACAGGAGAAAAGTCTAAACCCAGAGCATCATGCTTGCTGGGAAAGTACTCTACCACTTGAGCCATGTCACCAGTTCTTTTGGGGTTTTTTTGCTTTATTTTTGAGATAGGGTCTCCATAAATATGCTCAGGCTGGCCTAGAACTCCTGATATTCCTGTCTCCATCTCCAGAGTAGCTGGGATCACATGCAACCACTATACATGGCACTGTTTTAAACTTCTTTCCAAGAAAAAATAAAATCATAAATTAGATTATTCAATGAAATCTCAATATTTAAAAATAAATCCTTCAAAAATAATGATTGTATGCCCACATTTTATTATCCTATTCATTCCTTCATTATTCAGTCTACATACTAAATATCTACTGTATTGGTTATTGTCTTATTTTAGTTTCTTTCTAGTGTCTCAAATAAAACTCAGTATGAGAATCTTACCAATATGGCCTCCTCCAATGGTGTATGTCTTCCCAGATCCAGTCTGTCCATAGGCAAAAACAGTTGCGTTATAGCCGTCAATGAGTGATAACACTAAGGGCTTTATACACGTATTATAAACTTCATCTTGAGTGGAATTTTTACCAAAAACAAAATCAAAAGTAAAAACTCTATCTCTCCCAATGATAATTTGCTGGGTGTTTGGAATAACTCTCACACAAACTTGATGATTATGAAGAACTTCTTTACAAAGCAGAGGTCTAATTCTTACGGCAACTTTTACTGGTATTTCTTCCATGGCAGCTTAGATTTTATTAAATAGATTCTCTACTTAAATGTTCAGTATACAGTGTGAAAACATCCATTTTATGTAAGATCTGGACTCCTGTGTATCAAAATAAAAGACAAATTTTAATTACTGACTCCTAGTAAAAGAAAAGCAAAGTCATTTGGAGCAGGTTTTTCTTTTGTTTTGTTTTCTTCCCCAGAAAGAAAACAAAGAGGGCTGGGGATGTGGTTTAAACAGTAGTGCCTACTTTGCAAGCAAAAAGCCCTGAGTTCAAACCCCAAGCCTCAGACCCCAGTCCCACCAAAAAAAAAAAAAAAAGTTACAAAAGAATAAATCTGTTTTGTAAAGTGGGTCAATAGTTTACTTATAAAGTGACATGATGTCTGTATTTGCTTCAAAACAGTTGAGACATGGAGGGCTGTGAATTAGTAAATTACAAAACCAAATGATAACCACATGGAATTCTGCTGTGTCTTTATTTCTACAGTGGTAATATTGACCAGTCCATTATTCTAAATACTGACTAATTAAAGAGTTGCAAAGTTCAGGCAAAGCTGGCTGAGTGGCTCAAGTGGTAAGAATGCCTATCTAGCAAGCAGGAGACCCTGAACTCCTGTGCCACCAAAAAAAAAACCTCAGGCAAACATTTGTATTAGATCTTAGAGCTATTTATTTAAAAAACAGCATCTCCTCTTTACCACAAATGTTAGATGTAAATCTTATGAAAAGTTTCTCTGTCAATATAGATTTAAAAATAAGTAAATATAAAAATACTAAACTTTTTATTTAAAATAACTAAAATTAACAAAAACTACTTTTTCCAGTCATAAATATTATGTTGCACTTATTTCTGAAACTCTCTGGTGAAATTAATACACTAAAAATTAAACTGGAGGGCTGGCAGAGTGGCTCAAGACGTTAAGAGCGCCTGCCTAGCAAGCATAACACCCTGAGTTCAAACCCCAGTGCTGCCAAAAAAAAAAAAAAATTAAACTGGAAACTACATTTACAATGAACAACCTGAAAATGAGGAAAACAATTCCATTTATATTAGCATCAAAAAGAATAAAACAGTTGGAGGCACGGCTCAAGTAGTAGAGCTCCTGCCTAGGAAGGCCCCGAGTTCAAGCCCCATTGAAAAAAAAAAGATGAAAATACCTAAAAAAACAAAATTAACAAAAGGTTTATAAAACTTACACTTTGAAAACTACAAAATATTGTTAAAAGGAAGTAAAATAAGTTCTAAAACAATGAAAAATATCTTATGTTCATGGATTGGAAACGCTGACCTAGGATTTGGCAATTGCTTCTGAGATACACCAACAAAAGCAAAAGCATAAAATAGACCAACTGGACTTCACCAATATTTAAAACTTTGTGCCTTAAAGGACACCATCAAGGAAAGAGAAAAGACAACTCACTGGATGAAAGAAAATATCTGTAACTCATGTTGCTAGGCAGGTGCTCTCACCTCTGAGCCACTCCACCAGCAGTAAGTCATGTCTCTAATAAAGGATTTCTATCTAGAATATATAAAGAATTTTTGCAATACAATAACTTTTTAAAAAGCACTCTGAATCTAGGTGGTTCCATGGAGAAAGAAAAAAGAAATAAAAAATAAAAAGCAATCTGAAATGGGCAAAAGACCTGAAAAGGCAATTCTTTGGAGAAAAAGGTCAATAAGCACATGAGCTGGGCGACATTGGCTCATGTTTTAATGCTGGCTGCTCAGGAGGCAGAGATCTATCTCAAAAATACCCAACATATTAAAAATCTATCTCAAAAATACCCAACATATTAAAAAGGGCTGATGGAGTGGCTCAAATGGTAGAGTACCTGCCTAGCAAGCATGAGGCCCTGAGTTCAAACCCCAGTACAGTCGGAAAAAACCAAAAGTACATGAAAAGATATTCCAACATCATTAGCTATCAGCGAAATATAATCGAAACCACAATAAGATAATTCCACACCCACCAGCATGGCTAGTGATCAAAAAGGTAGATTAAAGAAGTGTTGGTAAGAGCTAGAGAAAATTGGAGCCCTCATCTACTACTAGTAGAAATGTACAATGCCACAGTTACTTTATAAAAATAGACTGGTGGTTCCTAAAAAAGCTAAACATAGAACTATCATCCGATCCAGCAATTCTACTCAAAGAAAACATGTTGCATAAAAACATACATCAATTTTTAGTCTTGGTAGGATAAAGCTTACACTATATAAAGCTTTTTAAAAGCTAGCAAACATGTGATCTATGTGCACATTTGAAAAGTAATCAGTTTGGGGTGAGGCTAGACTCACAGGGCAGAAAGTAATATTTTATGAACTACTTGCTATGGAAATGTTTATGACATATTTAATATTCACTTAGAAAAACTCTGAGCAGACTACCTTGCACTTATAATTTGGAGTGCAGAGTCAGCCTGGAGATTACAACAACAAAAGCCATTTACATCACTCTATTAGAATACCATTGAGAGTAAAAATATATGGGGTTCCTTAGGATGCAAAATCCCAAAACAGTCAACAAACTACCTTTAATGAACAAAACAGAGATATACCTAGCCTTGGCAGTTTTAATCATTTTAATCAAATTCAGCACTGAAAAACTAAACGCTCATGTGTATGGTGAATCCTTTTTTCGATCATAAAGGACTACAATTATTTGGTACTGGAAACTTCCAAACTGCAGGGATGCTATCTTCTTTCTTCCAAATTGCTCTGAACACCTACAATTGAAATTTTCATCATACAGATCAATTTGCTTTTTAATGACATAGCACTAAAGCAAAAGTAAAGGTCTGTGTTAAGCTAACCCTAACTGCTTTTAAAGAAATTACTATTAAAAAATGTCAAGTGTAATTAAGATATTTTCACTTTCTTGGTTATGATGGTGGGAATATAGCTATCGAAGCTCACCTATTTGTAATCATTCAGAAACACTAATGACCCATACAAAATCAAATTCTTTTTAATCTGTCTATAACAATTATACTACTTCAGATTAACTATAGTTACTAGGAACAAGTATTGTCACCAACAGATGTTAACAACAAAGGTAAACTCTGATTGCCTGGCAATATTTCTGCATACTCAATAGGTTTTTGAAATGTGACCAAATGCGAGGCAACTGGTCCTTGATACCAGGTCATTGATCAGGAGGAATGGATGTCTCCAAGTACCTATGCCATCCTGTGCTCTTGGTTTCTTAGAAAGTAGTTGTCTAAAACTTGGGGTTTGCTAATTAATATTATCATAAGAAACTTCCTAGCAGAGAGTGAACTGCACAAGGATCTCACTACAGGCCACAAATGCATAAAGACGGTAGCTGAGTGAAGAGAGGAAAACGAGATATGTTTTAAAAACTGGAAAGGACGGCGTTGAGAAGTGTTTCAAAGGCAGAATGCGGAAGCCCTTCCTCTTTCTCCATGGTCGCCTGGCCCGGAGGACGCGGCTCGCGGGCTTCGCGGACGTTCGAACGCAAGCCTGGGTGGGAAGGGGCCCTGTCCCTCAGTCCCCTCACGGCCGACAGTGGGAGTACAAACAAGAGACACGCACGGGATGCGATTCCGCGACGTTCCCGGGATCCACCTCTACCTCAGTGGAGACCCAACTTGCCCCTGGAAGCGACGCTCGGCCTCGGGCCTACCCCAGACCTCTCGGGTGCCCAGCTCAGCCTCCCCGGCCCGCGAGCCCCCCCCGCGGCGTCCGCAACTCGGGGCAGCGCCGCTCCTTCCAACGGCGGGCACAAGCGGGATGAAGGGCCGACGCAAGGGCACCGCGGGCAGAGCCGTGTCCAGCTTCCTCGTCTCATCTGGCCGGCCGGCCGGCCGCCGAGCACTAACCAGTTCGGAAAGCCCAGGCCGGCGCAGAATTCCTCGACTTCGCTCAGCTACGCCGCCGCCTCCGCCGCCCACGCCTTTTGTTGTCACAGGTTCTCACAGCAACCGGCGCCGCCCGACGCCCGTCGCACCTCCTCCGAGTCGCAGCGTCTCGGCCCCGCCCCCTTATTGGCCCCGCCCCTTGTAGGCCCCGCCCACGAGCCCGCCCTGCAGTGGAGTTGCCGGGCGCCTTTGCCCAGCTAGCCGCCAACCTCTGAGTGTGCCTGCAAAGGCTCGCTGTATCCCACCAGCCACCTGTTCGCCTAGGCTGAGCGCCAAATATCTATCCACAGGCTCCCAAAATGAAACATTGCGTTTAAATATCTTAGCTGCCAATTCAGGTTGTTGGGGATGGGGGGAGAGTTTCTTGAGGTAAAATTTGCAAAATATAAAATAAGCCACTTTTTAAAGTTTTTTTTTTTTTTCCAGTGCTGTTTACTATTTAGGAGTGAAAGGAAACGCTCCCTAAGCCCTCTGAAGGTTCGTAAGAATGAACAGACAAAAAGAAAAGATAAACTTACTAACATGCAAAAGGAGAAAATTCGCAGCGGAGGGAGGCTACGATTACCTACTAACACAGCATGATTCAGAAACATTTACCCCTTTTCCACAGGGGAGAGGAACAATGAGAATATGATGATTTTAAGGGGAACTCAATGGACTTGGAAAAAAAATATCTGGAACCAAAAAAAATGGCCTGGGACAAAGTCCGTTGAGGTCACAGAAAAGACAATGATTCTTTTTGAAATATTGAATGGAACCAAAACAAAAGACATTGGAAAAAATACGGAAAACTCTGGAAGATACAGGCATAGGTAATATTTTTCTGAATAGGATTCTAATTGCCCAGGAAATAAAAGCAAGAATTGACAAATGGGACTACATCAAATTAAAACGTTTCTGCACATCAAAAACAGTTACAAGAATCAAGAGACAACCCAAAGTGGAGGAAATCTTCAACAGTTATTCAACAGATAAGGGATTAAATCCAGAATACATAGAGCTCAAGAAGTTAAACAGCATGGGCTGAGGGAGTGGACCAAGTGGTAGAGCACCTGCCTAGCAATCTGAGTTCAAACCCCAGTACCACCAAAAAAAAAAAAGCCAAACAGAAGAATAATACAATTAATAGAGCAAGCGGGCGCCTGTGGCTCACGCCTGTAATCCTAGCTGCTCAGGACGCAGAGATCAGGAGGATCGAGTTTTGAAGCCAGCCTGGGCAAATAGTTCACGAGACCCTATCTTAAAAATACCTAATACAAAAAAGGCTGGTGGAGTGGCTCAAGGTATAGGCCCTGAGTTCAAGCCTCCGTTCTGCAAAATAAATAAAAAAGCAAATGAGTAGACAGTTTTCAAAAAAAAAATTACAAGTGGCTAATATATGAAGCAATGTTCAACATCCTTAGCCAGAAAGGAAATGCAAATCAAAACTGTACTAAGATTCCATCTCACTTCTATCAGGCTGGCAATCAAGAAAACAAATGTTGGCGAGGATGGACAGGTAGGAGGGAGAGAAGTGTATATTCCTCCAACATACACTGTTGGTGGGAATGTAAACTAGTGCAACCACTATGGAAATTAATATAGAGGTTCCTCAAAAAACTAAAAATGGAACTACCTTACGACCCAGCCATACCACTCTTGAGCATATATCTGAAGGAGTGTAAATCAACATTGATTTACAAGATATATGCCTGCATACCTTTGTTTATTGCAGCTCTCTTCACAATAGCTAAACTGTGGAATCAGCTGAGGTAACCAACAATGATGAATGGATAAAGACTATATGGAATATACACACATCATGAAATACTCAGCCATAAAGAAAAACAAAATTATGCCATTTGCAGGAAAACACGTGGAACTGAAGAGCATCATGTTGAGGGAGATAAGCCAAGATCAAAAGGTCAAATATCAAACATTCTTATTTGTGGAACCTAGACCAAAAATGATGATGATGATACTACTACTACTAATAATAATGGGACATGAATGTCTATGGGTGACTGTCTTGTGGGGGGGATTAAATGGAGAGGGAAAGGAAAGGATACTGAAGAGTGAAGAGGATGGAAGTACACTGCAATATATACACAAGAAGACAGCATAATGGAACCCACCAAACACTTTGAAAGAGGGAGGAGGAGGGAATGGAAATGTAATGGAGGGGTGAATTTACTCAAGGTACACTGTATGCATGTGTGGAAGTATATAACAATGGTTTTACTAAGCAGTGATTTCTAATCCTATTTTCCCTGCTTCCCCAACAGTATTGTTCAGATTTTAATTCTGAAATCCTAATAAGGACATGCTCTCTGGTGTGGCCAGGGAAACCACAATATGTCATTGTGTCACAGTGCATTTCAGTATTACAAAAATTGTTATGAGTCACCTAATGCAAAACAAATCCATCTGTGCCTTTGCATGCTACTTCAAAGCCACCCAACCATCTGCAATCAGACTTCTTAGGAATAAATAGGCTACAAGTTTGGGTCCCAGAGAGTGTCACTTTTAATGTCTAGCAAATTTTCACAGCCTAATGACAAACTCCGCCCAATCACCATTTCTAATGGGAGGCTGACACTTGTAATGAAAGCAGTTCCAATGTGCCACTATAATGACCTACTTCTTTTGATTGCATTTATTTTTAATGATTATTTTCCCTGCATGCCAACCCAACCTGGACTGCCAACCTACAAATAGGGGGAGGGGAAGGGGAAGAAGCAGAAGCCTGAGACCCACTGTTGTCTTGGGCTGCACGGCCAAGTAGTGATATTTCTGAAGAATTTACACCCTTGAGTTAATACTGAATTAAATAAAACAGGACCATTCTTCCACTGTGTGGGATTCAGTAGAACTGAAATTATTACCCCAGCTTCACTTAAACAAAATACCTGGTGAAAAAAATTTGCCCACTGGTGTGTTTAATGAAAATTACTGTTGTCCTAAATAAAAGGTCTTTTAAGCAATCGTTCCAAGCGAAAAATGGAAAATGCTTTTCTCTGTAGTTCTTTTCACTGCAAAGGTTAGATCTGACTTGCTGTTTGAAATGAATTGACAGAGATGGAATTGAATGCTACAAAAGTCAGGATATGTCCATATGGTTGGAGTTATAATTTGATTTCAAAATAAAATTTATTCAAAAGTTATTAGGTCTCAACTCTGAAAGGTACTGTAGAGATAGGATAAAGCACAATGTCACTGATTTCTTATTGCACACTTATGTTCTACAAATAAAAGATGTGTCAAATATATTCCTGATGACTATCATTATTTTTAGGGAAAATTCAAAAAAGTCTTAGTGCTGTTGACAAGGTCTTTGTCTGACTTTATCTGTGGGCAATATCAACTTGTACATAAGTGCAAAGCATATCAATAAATATGAGAAACCCGTAGTTCATGAAGTTATTTAAAAATTATTAATATAATTAACACAAGGCCAGGAAGAAGATAATTAGCACTCTTTTGAAAGATAATGATTTAATCAGTGTTATTAATGATACTCATAATAGAAGATGGACAAAATTCTGAGACAAATTGTTCAGTTTCAAGTGAAGCTTCTTTGTGACACTTTAGCCATAAGAATGGGCTCCTCTTTCATTTCAGAGCACCAGTACACTTCATACCACAGCCCAGGTACAGACCATGTGGCTATCTTTATATCAGTGGTCTGAAATTAAAACATGATGTGGAAAAAGTCTATACAGCAAAGTCACAAAATAGGTGGAGGGAAGTATTTTGCAGCATGAAAGCCTTACTACCCATACAAGTACAAAATCCAAGAGGCAAATTAAAAATCCCATTCTTGGGAAATGTCATCATATTTGAAAGGGCAAAAGTCACACTGTTAAGTAGTTCACATTTTTGTAGGGCTTTGCTCATCTAGTCATCAACCAAGTGGTTGGGAAACATCACATCCCCATTTTACAGGTGAGGACTCTGAGGCAGAGAGATAAAGCAAATAGAGGTAGAGCTTACATCCAGATGCAGGTAGTTTGTCTGTCTCCAAAGTCTGTTCTCTTAGATACCAAGTTTAATTGTATCACAAAAGAAAAATCAAAACACTTTACATAGGACATCCACTGCCAGTGTGTTGCCTCTTTATTTTCTGGATGCCCATTCAGGTTAGCGCCCCTAGCTGATAACAAGGGCCATAAACCCTTACCAGTGTTCTGGGACCGGATGGCTTTTTGCTGGATCCATCTCTGGTTGGATCTGAGCCAGTGAACTCATAGGTCAGTCTGTGAGGAATTTCCTTTCCTATCCATAGTTCATGTGCACTTCCCCTCCAAGGCTTTGGGCAAGAATGACTTTCCTGAGGTCAATTAGAATCCCATATCTGAGGTAGGTGTTCAATAAATATTTGAATAGGATCAATGGAAATATTTCCAAGGCTTAATCAAGCCAGAGGCATTTTCAATATTGATGGGTTTCCTGGCAGCACTTCTAACCTCACTCAAGGTCCCTAGTGGTTGAAAATAGAAAGTAGTCAATTGCCTGCAGGCATTCATTGTTCTCCCCAAGATGACCTCTGGGAGAATTAGAAGGCTGCAAAGCCTCAATAATATGAATTTTACTGATTCAAAAAAAGCTCAGCCCAGGGAAAAAAGGCTTTTCTGCAAAGGTCATTAAACTAAAGTCTCTTTGTTGTACCTTGTACATCATTCTGGAAGGTAAAGGTGAACAGAAGGTTATTGTAACTCCCAGAAGCTACCAGTGTTTGTGCACCATATTCAGTTAGTAGTAGGTTTAATTATCTCATGCTGTTAGGATATAATAAACTCTGCATTATCTGTGGAATTGGTGAAAAATGGAGGGACACGAAATTTTGAGGTCCATTCCTAATACTAAACCCATTGAGCCATAGCTTCTGTTTCTCTTGTTCAGATGCATTGAATTAATGAGTGAGCAAAATAATCAACAATTCAACTGGTGAAGAAACAAGTGAATGAAGAAGCCAAGATCACCTGGACCAATGAGAGCAAAACATTGCCATCAACACCC